GGGGGGTCACTACCGGTTCGAACCCCTCCCCCCCCCCTCCGGAAAACCGGGGGGGGTCACTACCGGTTCGAACCCCTCCCCCCCCCCCCCCCAGCTCATCATGAAAAGGGGGGGGGGTCACTACCGGTTCGAACCCCCCCTCCACCCCCCTCGAAAACCGAGTGGGGGTGCGGACAGTGGTGGGGACGGTGTTGGTGGGGACAGTGGTGAGGGGACAGCGGGACAGTGGTGGGGACAGCGGGGGGACAGTGGGACAGTGGTGGGGACGGTAGTGGTGGGGACAATGGTGGGAACAGGGGGGACAGTGGACAGTGGTGGGAACGGTGGTGGTGGGGACAGTGGTGTGGGGACAGTGGGAATGAGGTGGAAACACTGGGACTGTGGAGGGTACAATGGTGGTGGGGACACTGGTAAAGGCGGTGGCGAGGACGGCGGTGGGACAATGGGACAGAGGTACAGTGGGGACAGTGGTGGGGACAGTGGGGACAGTGGTGGAAACAGTGGGACAGCTCAGTGGGACAGCGGAGGAGTCAGTGGGACAGTGGAGACAATGGGGATAGGCAGTGGTTGGGTCCGTGGAGACAGTGGGGAGAGTGGAACCGTGGTGGGAACAGTTGTGGGAACAGTGGGGACAGTGCGACAGTGGTGGGGGCATTGGTGGGGACAATAGGGACGGTGGTGGAACCAGTGGGGACAGTGGTGGTGAAGACAGTGGTGCTGGGAACAACAGTGGGGGATGTGATGCGAGCGGTGGTAGGGACCGGGAGTCGTTTGCTGGCGGTGCGTGGGGGGGGGGGGGGGGGGGGGGGGGGGGGGTTCAACCGGTAGTGACCCCCGGTTTTCCGGATCGGAGGGGGGGGGGGGGGGCGGGCGGGGGGGGAAGGGTGGGGTGGGAGGGGGGGGGGGGGGGGGGGTTCGAAACCGGTAGTGACCCCTCCCCGGTTTTCGAGGGGGAGGGGGGGGGGGAGGGGGGGGGGTTAGGGGAGGGGGGGGTTTTGCCGGCGGAACGGGAGGGGGGGGGAAGGGGTTCCAGCAGGGGGGGAGGGGATTTTCGGAGGGGGGGGGGAGGAACCCCGGGCTCCGGAGGAAAAGGTTGGCAATTTTCCACAGTAAAGCGGCGGTGGATCACGCTCTCTCCAAGATTGTTACCACTGGGCTCCTTCCCGCTGGGGCCTTCGGGGCCGCCGTCGACGGGCTCAGCAACAAGTCCTTGTATAGGCTGCAATCTCTTGAGATTGCCCAGATCACTCCGTGTTCCTCTAGGAAATCCAGAAGCGCGGCCTTCGCCCTCACGGGGTCCAGGGCCGACCGTTGGGCCCTCGGGCCCGTCCTCAGGTGGGCCCAGGAAGTGTGGAACACCACGCTCGGCAAGTATGGGACCCCAGGGACCATAGGACTGCTCGAGCTCAAGGAGATTTATAACCACGTGCAGCCAGCAGGCCATTTGAGTTATAACGCCGTGCGAGGACCACTCAGCGCGGCAGCTCACGCGCTTCAACGTATTGGCTGGAGTTTCACATCCGCGTTTACGCTGCAGGACCACTTTGGCAGGGCGGTCAGGCTCACTGACACCTCGCCGAGCCTGCTTTCCGACTTGCTTCACCAAGGATGCCAGAGGAGATGGGAAACCATAGCCGCTAAGAGCATACCCAGCCCAACCCCCATGAAGCGAGTGTGTTTTGACATTGTTCGTTCCCTGCTTTCCCCCAAAAGCAAGAAGTTACCCCCCAGGTTTAAGGCTATCCTCCAAACCCTTGTGGTCCAGGGTTGGTGGACCGAGGAAAAACTCGCTAATCTAGGCTATGATGTGCCTAATGAATGCCCGCTATGTAAAGCCTTCGGGGACACCATACACCACCGTCTTTTCTCTTGTCAGCATCCAGAGGTAGTCGCCCTCAGGACAGAGCTGCTGCCGCCAGACGTTCTGCAGGCCGCGCTGGAGGCGCCAGAGAACAGCCCCCTGTACTGCTTCGGACTTTTCGAGCATCCAGGGGAGCAGCATGATGATTTTCCGCTGCCCAGGGAGAAGCCCATTGTTCGATTTGTCAGACACGACGGACAGCCAGACACGGTACCGCACTTTGGGGGGCTCACGGGAACCGACGGGTCGTGCACCAAGACAGGCATTGCGGAGTTAGACAGAGCGACGTTTTCGGTAGTGGCTTACAGTACCGACGGGGCCCCAGAGGCCTCCTTTTATGGCGCTGTTGCAGCCAACCTCCCCCAGACTTCTCAGGCTGGGGAGCACATGGGCTTCCTGGTTCTCCAGGAGGCCCTCGCCAGACCTTCCAAGGCCTGGGTGGACTGCAAAGCGGTCCTTGATCAGCACGCTAGGCCACTGCCGACACGTCTCAGCAGTAAGCTAAAGTACTCAGGCCTGCACAAGCTAGCGCTTGCGCGGGACAGCAGACACCTCCTCGAGACGGCCTCTAAGGTCAAGAGCCATCAGAATGTGAACTCATTGGCTGGTGAGGCCAGACTCGCTGCCGAGATCAACACAGCAGCGGACAAGATGGCGAAGGCGGCGATGGACTGCCACCCAAGTTTCAACCCGACAGCGCTGCAGGAGTTGCAACGCAAAATAGAGGCCGCTCGAGCGATTGGTTTATATGCGCCCAGAGTTCTCGCCCTATGCCAGCGCAATAGGCACAAGTGCGAGAGAGCCGCTCTGCCCTGTAAGGTTCAGGCCACCATCGTCGTGCACGACTGGGAGGTTCTTCAGGGGCCGATACCGTACAGGTGCAGAGCATGTTTTACGTACGCCCGATCTTATAAGGCAGCCGTTGCACGAGAGAGACAAGCATGCCAGCCTCTGGCCAGCGCATTTAGGCGCGGCCTTGAAGGCATCCACGCCAGCCACCAGATGGCAATAGCGCATTTTGCCGTGCCAGTTGTCTTTTGTTTAGTCTGTGGGCGCTATGCCCAGTATGCTTTCAGAGGCTTGCCAGCCACTTGTCCTGGACGCCCTCCCAAGAGTGGCGGACGTGCGAACATCAGAAATCGTCTTCTGGCTGGCAAGCATCCAAGGTTTTCAGATTTTGCTTCAGAGTCCGAGCGGTACAACACCGCAGAAATTCAAAGGCAGCAGCGGGCGCAGCGTGAACTTGCAGCAGCGCGCGCAGCGAGGCCACTCCCGAGTCAGCCGCACCCACGCTCGGTGCCTCGCCCACAGAGGTTCGAGGCTGGTCGAGGGCGCCAGCAGCTTTCCAGCAGGCGTCAAGAGGAGGATGGGGAACTCATCCCTCCTGTGGGTTTCGGCGAGGACGACTCGGGTTCGTCGGACTAGGCCCCCGTCCAAGGCCCACCGCCACCTCGGCGGTGCTGCGCGCTTGTGAGGGGCCACCCGCCCGACGGTCTCTGCCCTGGGTCTCCGCCACTGGCACGCCCAGGCACCGTCGGGCCACCCCACCTGGAGGGTGACTGGCCAGAGCCGCGTGCGTATGGCCCGAGCATGGAACAAAAAAAAGCTGACATGCATGCTGCAGCCGTTTCGGTTGCTGCGTCTGCAACGGCCGTGTGCGCGCTCCCAGGCGGGCACCATGGTTGACTCGACAGTGTACCCCACGCTGGAAGGCACGCCAGAACTCGCCGTGCGGCAGATTCTGGTGCGCGCCCGCGTGCCGCCTGACCTCCGGCTGGCGGTTGCCGCGAAGGGCTTGCTGGACGCCGACACCTGGGCGGCGGTCGCGGAGACGCTGGAGATCTTCAATACGAACATCGCGAGGCTCCTGGATGAGCAGGCCCTCGGCGCGGACAACAGCCCGACGAGGGAGGCGAATCTGATCTACCTTGCGGCCGCGTGGCGCAAGTGCCGTGCCCTGGCGGAGGGGCGCGATACAAGGCGCGCGCGCCTGGAGGAGGACCCGCATCGCATCCCAGAGATGGGCATACAGGAGTACGGCCAGAAGAAGATCAACTTCGTCGCTTTGCACCCGGACGTCCTGCTCACAGAGTTCCGCGAGCCCCACGAGCGATTCATCGAGAGGTTGGACCGTGACTTCACTATCCACGAAGTGGTCCCTCCCTATGAGCTCGGGGAGGTGCGCGTGAAGTCCGAGTATATTGCGCAGAGGGGCGGCTTGGCGTCCTCGGCAGAGCAGCTGCTCAAGGCGGCCCGCGAGGACATCCCAGCGACGGTGGTGATGGAAGACGACGCCATCAACAGGATCCACGCGTTCTACATTGCTTTGGAGTACCAGGGCCACGTGAAGTTCGCCTTCTTTGCTGGCAAGCCACAGACCAACGACATCACAGGTGGGCCGCTGACGTTTCTGAAAGAGTTGGAGGTGCGGCGGCGCGAGTCGCCGGGGCTGCAGTACATCCTGTTGGTCGACCGGCACTTCCGCAAGAAGGTCCACGAGCTGCTGGTGGAAAGCAGGGCGACGTTCCCGTCGTACTCCGCTGCCATGTGGGAGGTCTTCCATAACCACAGGTACATTTGGAGCGAGTGCCGTACCGAGGCCAAAGAGGCTTCGACGTCCGCCGGAAGCCCCGGGGCGACCCAGCAGCGCAACCAGAAGCGCGAGAGGGAGGCGGGCGAGGCGACGCCCGGGGGCGCCGCGGGGCCGGCGGACGGGCCTTCGAAGAGCAGCCTCAAACGACAACGACAGCGGCAGCAGCAGCAGCAGAAGGCCGAGCAGGCGGCAGCGGCAGGAGCCGCAGGCGGCGGCCAGACCCGTCTGCCAGCCGCCGGTGGCCCCAGGAGGGTGCCAGAGAACGAGTGGCGTGCGCTGCAGCGCTGTGGCCCAGCAAAGGCGCCGAAGACGTGCAGGTTCTGGAACACGTCCAGCGGCTGCAAAGACGGCGGCGCGTGCAAGTTCAAGCACGCGTGCTGGCTGTGCGGCGCTGGCCACAAGTGGTGTGACAAGCACTACACCGGCTGAAGCGAGGCCCAGCCAGAGTGCGGCGTAACGCATGCAGCGGGCAGCGCTGGTGAAGCGATAGGCCTGGCCAGTTCCAGGCATGATGCTGATTGCTGCTCCCTGCCGCATGATTCGCGCATGCCGTGGCGCACGTGGTCCGAGGTGCCGCCGACGCCGCCAGAAGATGCTCCGGATTTCTTCTTGGAAGTCTTCGGCGGCCAGGCGAAGGCGACTCATGAACTAATGCATCGTAGGGTGCCGTGTCTCCCTCCCGTCGACCTCGACGCCGCGCTGGGCCACGAGTCGACCGACGTCTCCGACGTCACAGTTTTGGAGAAGATCCGACAATGGACTCGAGCCGAGAAGTTGCACTTGGTCTACCCGCAGAGCCTGTCGCGGAAGATCGCAGAGCTCATTTGGCGAGACCTTGCCGGAGTGCGCGGACGTGTGAACTTGAAGCACGTTGGCGCCATGACCGAGGACCACGTGTACGTGGGCAGGGACTGCCAGTCTGCGCGGGCACGCGGTCTACGGGGGTCCATTTGGGCGAACCCGTTCAAGGTGGGACAGAGCTCTTCCAGGGAAGCGTGCGTCGAGAAGTACAGGCACTTCCTGCTCCAACAACCGGGCCTGCTTCGGCAATTGCCCACTCTACGGGGCAAGATTCTGGTCTGCCACTGCGACGCGGACGCCCCGTGCCACGCAGACGTGCTGCTGGACTTGCTAGAGCAAGGCAACCACAGCGACGGTCGAATCGTCCAGTTCCAGGCTTTCTTCGGCCTCAAGACGGCCAGCCGGAAACGCAAAGTGGGCGAGCCAGTTCGCTAGCCAGACAGCAAAAGGCGGAAGTCCGGGCACGTTGCGGTTGGCGCGGGGTACCAGCAGCGCCTCGGCTTGGTACCTCCGATCTTCCCAGTGGATTTGGAGCCGGGCGAGGCGATCCGCAGGGCTCTGGCGGCGCAGCACCCTTTTGACGTGGACGTCACGTTGACGGTCGCCGAGCAGCAGTGCGTCGAGAGACTAGTGAGCGGCACCGCCGGCGAGTTCCAGGCGACAGCGCACGAGTTCTGGAAGCAACGTGCCACGGAGCTAAAGGAGCGCAGCCTGGACGAGATCTACAACATGCCGGACCCGTTCATCAGGAATTTGTTCTTGAAGAACACGCGGGCGCGGCGCAAAGACGTGCAGCTTGGCGACTTCGTGCACCTTGCACTTTACCGAGAGCTCGCTGCCGCGGCAAACGTTGCGGACAGCGGCTACATCGACGAGTTCGCGCATGGCCTGCCCGTCATTGGCACTGTGCGCCCATCAGGCAGGTGGCCGCCGCTTGACGAGATCGTCGCACCTGCGATTTCCGAGGCAGAGCTACGGGACAGGGCCTGGGAATTGCAGGACAAGATCGCAAGGAGGGTGTCGAGGCAGAAGAGCCCCGAGTTGCGCAAGGCACTATGGGACGATGCGTTGGCTGACCGCGAGCGAGGTCAGTGCATCGGGCCGTTCTTGTCGAAGAAAGAGGTCTCGGAGGTTGTCGGGGCCAGCGCCTGGGTACCCACGGAGCGTTTCGGGCTCTGGCAGAAGGACAAGACGAGGGGCATCGACAACGCGGCAGGCGGCGCGGGGTCGCAGCTCAACCTGGCGACTGCCGCGACGGAGAAGCTCCGCTTGCCGTCCACCGACGCCAACGTCGGCCTCCTCAAAATCTTGCACGAGAAGCTGGGCCGCCGACAGGTGGGCGGCTGGGTGTTGGACGAATCGGCCGCGTATAGACAGGTGCCGGTGGCGCCGCGCCATCGAAGGTATGCCGTGATTGCGATGGCCGAGCCCGGCACTGGTGAGGTGGCGTATTTCGTGATGATTGGACACTCGTTTGGCTTGGTCTCCGCCGTCTACAACTATAACAGGAGGGCGGCTATCATCACAGACGTCCTGATCGTTGTGTTCGGCATCTTGGCGCGAAATTATTACGATGACAAGTTTGGCTTCACGGCCAAACACCTCGCGGCGCAGGAGTCCGACATTGTGGCGGACGTGCACCGCTGGCTGGGCGTGGAGTACTCCGAGCGCAAGCTGCAGCGCGGGCAGAACATAGTCGTCCTCGGTATTCGCTACGACCTGCAGGAACACACGCTCGAGGTCACCGAGCAGAGGCGGCGCGAGCTGCAAGCTGCCTTGGGCGAGGCGGTCGCGACAGACAGCCTGACGCCAGCATTCGCCGGGAAACTCAAAGGAAGGCTGGAGCACGTGGCGTCGCACCTGTGGGGGGGGTTCGGTCGCTCCTTCCTGCGGGCGCTGGCGGAACGCCAGTGGCAACGTGGAGGGGGTCACAGCCTGAACCGCGCCCTCCGGAGATCGCTGCAATTCTGGCTCTGGCTGTTGGAGACGAGAGGAGTCCCACGCAGCTTGGTGAAGCAGGGCAGGCTCGAGAGCGACATTGTCATCTTCACCGACGGCTACTTCCCGGACCCGAGGGACGACGCGCGCGACCAGCAACCGCGAGTGGGGTGGCTGGTGCTGAACACGTCCTCGGGCGCGGCGAGCGTCGGGAAATGGGAGGTGCCCCAGAACCTCATGAGGAGGTGGCTGCCGCGCAAGACACAGATCGCGATGGTCGAAGCCTTCGCGGCCGTGCTTGTCGTGGACCAATACAGGCACGAGCTGGCAGGCAAGAGGGCCCTCCTGTTCATCGACTCAGACGCCGTGCTCGCTTCCTTGATTAAGGGCTACTCGGCCAAGGAAGACCTATGCGAGCTGGTGGGTTTCTTCTGGAGGAGGTGCGCGGCGAGCAGGATCGCGGTGTACTTGGACAGGGTGCCCACCGACGCAAATCCAGCCGACGGACCTTCCAGAGGCAGCTGCGAGGAGCTGTGTGCCTGCGGGGCCGTGGCCGTGGCAGCAACTCCGTCCCGAGACCTTTGGGACGCGGCGCCGGATCCGCAGTGAATTCTGCGGCAAAGGGCCTGGGAAAATAGATTGCGCAGAGAAGCCGTGCAAGGGCGGCTGACCGGCGCATGTTCCTGGGCATTCGGTTCCGCAC